TCAGTTTCCCGGGCCACAGTGTCCCTCAAAAGGGAGCAAATAAGAAGTATGCCAAAAACCGAAGCAAATGGAGGTGGTTAAGCGGTCCCGAACCGAGGCACACGGCCAACGGCTCCGAAAAACCGGAAACCGGACTCCAAATGGGCAAAATGGCCTACGACCACAAAACGTAGCTTACGGCCACTGAGAGATGATCTACGAGACCTCTCCCTCCCTTCGTGAAGAGAAAACAGAGAAAACCGAGCCTGGTTCGCAAACCGAGGCAAAGCACAAAAGAGTCCGGAAGCCCGGAGGCAAGGTTCACGGCCAGGACTCTGAAACTTCTGAACGAGCACGATATGCAACATCACCAAGCGCTCAATCGGTGACGTCTGAGTCTTAAGGTCGGTCAAAAATGGGGTGTCTACAATATTCACGAGTACAAGTGCAATATGTGTCTGGTATAAGTGCAAACTCTGTGGGTTTTCACAATTATCAATTGCATTTTGCGCAAGTTGCGCTTGCACTGATCACAAGTGCTTGCAACTCAGTTAAAAAAAAAGTAGTACTTGCACCCAACACATTAGTGACAACAGGGTAGTGGGTATGGGACCATGATAGATAGTGCCTCATGTCACACTAACAATGATAAATATTGTGTAGCCCATCACTAGAAATGCTAAACAAGAAGGCCTTGCAATGTAGCTCATGGTATGAATGATACGGTTGATTTTGATGATTCCGAAAAAGTTGGTTCGTTACACAATAAGGGTCTTCCTGCAATTGATAAATATGGTGTCTCTGCATTTCTAACATTTTTGTCTGAGAAATATAGTTTAGGCATTTTTTTTGGAATGGGTGGTTCTAAACAAGGAAAATGTCCATCTCAGAATTGCAAGGGTAGGATTGAAAGGGGTCCAAAAAGGGGTGCTACTTTCAATGAACCAAGAAAGAAAAAGGTTATTATGCGCAAAAACTTCCTTCTCATTGACCGCAACTTAGGCCAATCTCTACAAACTGAAGGTAAGTTTAGATTCCTACATAGTTCTAGCTTGTCGGTTGTCGAGGTAAAAAAAAAGTCATCACAATCTGACATGCAAGTAGATCAGCCAAATGTCCAAGCTGATCAGTCGAATGGCTACAAACTAGAAGTTGAGGATTCGGTCACCCAATCTACCTTGATTGACCCAACACCACAGCACTTGGAGGGTAGTTCATTATCACAGCATTCCCGAGTTTTGAGTGATTGCTACAAACCGGCAATTGAGGTTGACCTAACACCACAAAACTTGGAGGGTGGTTCATTATCACAACTTTGTCCCCTAGTTTTGAGTGATTGTGAGGAGCACACACAGATGTTGTATCACGACCCCATTCCGCCCCTAGTAGAATGGTACCGTGATGGCCAGTAATCCGAGATTACCAAAGGTCAACTTACAAAGATTCACACACAATCAGAGTATACATATGGGGCTTACATGTGCAGAAGCAATAAATTTAAATCTAAGTAGTCCATAAGAGCTGTGTATAGATCAAATGAAATGACATATATCTTAACGTGGTTTTACAACTTGAATACAAATGAATTAAAACTAAATATTACATCTTGACCAAAAGGCTTCTCAAGCCGACATATACAAAAGACATGCAATACAAAGCCAAGAAGCATAAGCTTTAAGATGCTAGCAAAAACATGAATCCAAAACATCTTGCAAAACACATCTAGGCGTCACCGCCTTCTTCTTGCTCGTCACCTACATATATATAAGGAGAGGGTGAGCTTGGATACTTAATGAATGATATTAGAAATAAAAGTTTAAATGAATGATATCCGAGATTTTTATCAAAACAATACATATCATAGCTTGTACAAAATCAAGGGATGAATCAAGTTCATCTATCAAGTCTTTCAAAGCTTCAAGGGATGCTCACTAGCATCAATATAATACAAGGGATAACATTCCTGACAAAACAAGGGAATAATCGACCTGGAATCGATTAGACAAACCCACTCGCACAAGGCCGTCGGTGGCAAGGGACATATCTCAAACAAGGGTACTAGTTGCATTATAGTCCCCTAGCACTAAAGACTTTCTAAGAATGTCATCAAAACAAGATAATGCTTGATACAAAATTAGGGATAATCATTTATACTTGAACAAACACTTTTCCAAAACAAAGCAAAGCTTTATCAAAACTTTATAACATAGCTTTATTAAAAATACTACTCGCATAGCTCTTCGGGTGTAGGGATTACAAATAAGGATCCAAGGCCTACAAGTACATAATAAATCCCATTGAATGCATTTCAGGAAGACAAGAAGAAATGTTAAAGGATGGATATGAAATGCATTCCTAAAACAAGCTTTGCATGAGTATAAATGATCTCGACATTTATTTCAAAACTAAGTTAAGACAAAGCAAAACATGTGCTAGAAGTTAAAACACTATTTCTCATCTCGGGAAAACATGCTGGGTACCAACTAGGTCTTGGCCGAGGTCCCACACCTCTTGGCCGAGGTATGGTCCCGATGACTACATTCAGGGAAATGGAGTCTGGAAATCTGGGTTTTCTCCCTTGAAGGGTATGAAGAACATGAATGTGAATAACATGAAGAACGTGAATGCTAAAACCATAACTTCTTTAATCAAAATCCGAGATTTCATGAGATGAGTTTGAAAACGTGGACCTGAGTACCCATACTTGAAGATCTTATGAAAACAAACACAAAAACATGGATCTTGATACAAACTTTCAGATCAAAACATGGTTTTATTTCAAGAACACAAGAACATTATTTTCTCTTTCTAAAACAAGTTTTAAATCAATGCATGACTCATAAATAATGCTAGATCATGCAATGTGATTAGATGAACATGAAGAACAAGAAGAGCATATCAAGATTCTAACCTCAAAACACGGATCTAACGGTTCAAGGTGTGAAGATCAAGCTTGGAAATCTATTCTCACTCTAAGAACTTTTCTTCTTCTCTTCCTAGGACAAAGATATGACAAATGATATGTTTTCTCACTCTACTGGCTGACTTAACCCTCTACTAGGACATGTGGCAACGATTGGTTGGTTTTCCTCAAAAAGGGTGGCTGACTGACAAGACAAGTGCATGACAAAGTGTATACAGCAAGCAAAATGCCAAGGGCACTCTAACAAGGTAAGGACCTCGGGTCAAGACATAGGCTTCGGCAAGTAAGGTCTCAATGATCTCGGCTAGGAAGGATAACACTTGACCCAGCAGCTGTGACACACCTCGGCCTAGATGTGCCACACCTCGGTCTAGGTCATACCAGTCTTAGAACAAGATCACTAGGTGCAAGGGTCAAAGATCTAGGATGTCTAGATGGTAACATCTCGGGTTAGATGATGACATCTCGGCCAAGACGCTAGGGTGATGGTGGAGGTCAACCAAAGTGATTCCAAGATGGTCCTAGGTGTAAGAGGTTCAAAGGTGTAACCTAGGCTTAAAATGACCTCGGCTTAACACACACTAAGCAATGGACAAAGCATGCAAGCAACACTTAGATAAAACAAATCAAGGTTTGCAAAAATACAAGTTTAATCAGAACAAGGATCATGCAAATGCACATGAGCATGACTGAGACAAAGTGAGGGTTGTTACATGTTGGATTCTAAGAGAACGGTCATAATTCATAGGGAAGGCTCTAAAAGCATCCTAGCACCCAAACACTATCCTAAAGGTCCTCGAGGTAAGATTGGCGTTGAATCCATCCATGCCCATGTCCACGACCATGAAAAGCAAAAGAGGAAACCATGTATCGAAGACACCTTCAGCGATTCCAACCTTTATTGAACTCCCCAACGACGGGCTATTCTACTCCAATTATTATTTGTTTGGGCTGTTGCTTTTATAAATTTTGGATTTCTATGCTGGAGTTCGATATTTTCAAGTGGCAATTCTGGAGGTCCTTCATTTTGGTTTGGGCAATGGCTTAGGTTTGGCTCCTTCTTGTCTTCTATGTTCGGTTGTCTTACCCCTCTTTTTCTTTTCAGAGTCTGCTAACTGTTTGTATGTTGAAAACTTTGTTTCATGGTGCCTTTTTAATGCAGTTTATCATTCCTTAAATAAATAAATAAAAAAAAAGAAAAGTAAAAAGAGGGCCAATATTTGACATCTTACAGGTTAAAATGCTATCATTTAACAATTTTGTTATAATGATACAAACGTCATTTCATCTATTTTCTTCATAAAAAGAAATATTATCTGTGAATCTCATCACTGAAGACGTTAAGACCGCTTTGTTTTGACAATGTTATAATTTAGAGAAAGTAATGTTGAACCATTAAAAATAGTTTTTGAAAGTTATCAAAGTTTTTTGCCAAATTTACTTTTAACAAGTGCTTTAGGACACCATCACTAGAAATGCTACACAAGAAGGCCACCCACCATTGTGTAGCCCATCACCATTTGATTATAAACAAACAAACAAACAAACAAAGCAATAAATAAATAAATACCCTCAACACAATCACAACTATCTTATACAGAAAATCTGATCAATAAAGCATTTTACCCCTATTTTACTTTGGCTAAAAGTATAAGCAAAGCCTCATGTCTGCATAAGATGGTAGATTAAAACTAACAGCCAAGAGTACTAAGGTAAAAACTAACTGGACTAGGGTTCTAAGGTTTATAGAAGCAATTGAGAATATTTCCCAGAAAGCAGTCTCTGGCTAGTCTGTAAACTTAAAAACAAATTAAAAAAACTCCCTCTGGAGTTCTTGCTTATAGTACGCATTGGTACACTATAAGCATCTCTAAAATCATACTTTCACATACAGTTTACAATTTAGCTACAAAGACAATTTCAAGAAGCGGGTATTGGGGAGAGAAGTGTTTGAACGGAGGAGAAACTTACGGAAAAAAGTACACACATCTTAGGAAACGATAAGGACTTAGTTTACGTATTACAGACATCTACTAATGTACAGAATGATATGGCTTACTGAGAAAAAACCCTCTCTATCCTCAACCATTCAGAAAAGTCACTGCCAAGGAACTGGCTGTGTTGTTGGCTGATGACTTTGCCCATAAAATCCAATACCCGGAGGCCTGTAATACCCTCCATTAGTCGGTGGCTGCGGAGACTGCTGCTGCTGCTGCTGGGACTGCATCTGTTGCGGTTGCTGTGGCTGTGGGGCCGGTCTTGCTAATCCCATTGCAATATGCGAAGGCAGTGGTGGTGGAGGTGGCAAGCTATTACCTCCATATCCGTAAGGCATAATACCCATCATCATACCGGCAGATTGAACAAATTGATTTGCCGGTGAATTTGCAGGAGGTACCGGAGGAGGAGGTGGGGGTGGAAATGGAGATTGCATCGGGTTCATGGGTTGGATACTTGTGGGTGGGACAAGCGGCATAGTACCCATCGGTTGCTGTTGAAGAGAAGTAAAATAGCTCGTATTACCAATTTCAGAATTATTAGCATCTGCAGAAGACATTGGTTTGTCTAACTTCATCCGTTTCTCTGGAGAGAACATGGGTAAATTAGAGATGAATCCAGCTGATTTTAGACCACCACTCACAGAGGCAGCCTCCTCGGCTACAAGAGATGAGAGAACAGATGTAAGCATCTGTGCAGAGGATGTAGAAGCAGTAAGCTTAGCAGCTACAGCAGCTGCTGTTGCCTTCTTGTTCTCTTCTTCGCTTGTCCTCTGAGCTGCAAAAGACATCGCAGGTGGTGCCAATGGTGAGCTGGATGGATGAACTAAAGGTAGGTTGGGTTCAACCCTTATACTGGATTCTATCTGTTGCTTAGTCATGTTGAGGGAAGCAGGAACGGGTGGTGATGTCAGCCTCTGCTTCATATTGCTCATTTGCTCAATCTGACCTCGGGCAATCTGCACACCCATAGACAAATGTCACTGTTTATCCCAGTAAAGCAACTGACGAATTCCAATTTTCATGTTGCATGAGAACAGACAAGCATATTTTACGGAATATTTAATCAAGAGACTACAATTATGAATTAGCAATGATATCATGATTAGGGAAACAAGCGTTCACACAAGGTGTCTGACAAAACAGTACCGATAAAGCCTCCACTATGGTAGATTGTTTTTGCAAATATGTGAACGTATCACGTGGAATATGTTGCACACGCACATGTTTCAACCAGAAGATGCGAAGGAAATCATCATTGGTAGTCAACCACATAACGGTAGAAGTGTTCAGCAAAATGGTGTTTGTTTGTGAGTGATATTAGGTTGGAAATGTAAGATAAAATTGGTGTTTGTTGCACTAGTGTGGTGCGGTGATATTAGTTGGTTGAGATTAAATCTATGAAATTGTGTAAAAGCCCTTTATTAGAAAAAGGTGGCTTTGTTGTTTTTGTAAAACCGGGTACAAAATAGTCTTTTCACCTCTAATAACATGGGACAGGATTAGCAATCCTGCCGTCCACATAGGAATACTAATACATTATTGAGGGGTATTCATAGTGCTGTGGGACTCTTAGTTCCATCCATTTTTCCCAACCAAACATATATTTTGTGGGGCCTGCAGGATTGCCCATCAAATCACATGGCTATTGGAGTCAAAACAAACGTGGCCATAGAGTTTAGTTGAAGAAAATTTCAACCATCATGGATTGATAGCCTTTCCCTCCATGGTATTCAAAACACATCTGAAGTGACCTCCATGTAAAGAGGTCAGAGTTTCCTTGCTGTGGCAATGGGAAGGTTATTACAAAAATTTAGGGGAAAGCATAGTGTCAAATTGGGGTACGCACCGTGCATCGTTTTTCTTTTTTCTTTTGCTCTTGTATCATATCACATCGTACGATTTGTTAACATCTTTAAAAATTGGTGGAAAATATAAATATCTTGTGAGAATAAAACATAAGCAAATGTAAAATCATTAATAATAATATTACACAAGGTTCGTAGAGTTAAAAATACGCATGCATCAATACTAAATACCTAAGAAGCATGGACACAGATACAAGAATGGAAATTTTCAAAAAATTGGGATATGGAGAGGGGATACAGCATAAAAAACATCTTTTTTTATATATTTTATTTGGAATATATATAAATATTACATCTACAAATAACTAAAAATAACACTAATTCAACATAAAAAAATAATTCAATCTATAAGTTTTAACTTTATCAAATATAAAAGAATATTGTTTTAACTCGTATCAATCATAAACTATCATATCAGAGTTGTTTGCCTTATCCACATCAGAAATTGTGGGTGTGCTACTAGCCTAAGCAAAGAGGTGGACACATTTTCCTGTAATCATTACAACTAAAAAAAATAAAAAAATTCAACTATCAAACACCAATTTAAAATGACAATTTAACAACGTCAACCATCAAACACTAACTCAAAAATTAGGAAAGAATGCCACTTAATTATTGTTCAAAGAATAAGGAAGACAATACTACTTAGTGATAATTAACATAGACATCATGTTTACATAGTGATGATTATGAATTTATGATGGTCTTTTTTACAACTCATGGCAAGATAATTGTCTTTGGCTCACATCTAGAGGCAAGGTACACATGTCCCCAACATGTTTGGGTAGAGAAAAACTAATTAAAAAATGATACACACCACGTGGCATGTCCAAGGCGTGTTGGTGTCCAACACGTCAGATACAACTATGGCAGAAGCATCCATGCTTCATAGCTTAACAGAGCGGAGAATTAAATTTGGAATAACAAATTATATATATAGCACTTTAGTACATTACTATATTCTCAAATCAAATTTACCCACAATTTTTTTCTTTTTTCTTAATAATTATATAATATGTTTTCCATTATTGTCTTCAATCGCTCTTGATGTTTTTAAATTTTAATTTAAAACTATTATGTACTCAATTAGTTTATTCATGATAGAAATTTCAAGCTTTATTCGATGTAGCCGGGTATAAATTAATAGCACAAGACAATTAATACCATATAGGTAAATATTTGTAAAAAAAAGTATCCTTCTCATCTTTAACAATATTTTTTTAATGTTGATGAACTTTTCTAATGATTTTAATTTCAAAAACATAAGCTCAGTTACTTTTTTCCCAAAATTGTTAAAGAAAATTTAAGCATATATCATATGTATCGCATATCGTATATAACCTCATGTATCATATATGTGTTGCAAGATACATTTAATACAAGATACCTATTGGCAATATGTATCGACTTAACTCTAAATATATTGAATCATAAGATATTAACATTGGGAAAAAAAGTGTTATATAAGAAAAGGTTGGTATAAAATTAGATGAGTATAAGAAATAAGAAAAGACATAATTCATGCAACCAATACAAAGTTGATATGAACAGGTAACTGTCAATGACTATTCAAAAGACAATGAAGAGCCCAAGAAAAGGTAAAAACTATATCACTAGTCCACTTCATACTTCTGCTAGTAACTTCATGCATTGTAAAATTGAGAGATGCCTGCGAAATCAGTTCCACATAAAGTTGGACATTTTTGCCAACACTAACAGTAGATAAGCAAGTTGCAAAGACAAAATGAGATCCAACTATCACGGGGATTTTAAAAGACAAGTTTTAGTACAAAAACATACATTGCACAACATAAAACTGAATGGCAACTTGAAAAAGCCTACGATTGTGGGACACTATGATGATAAATGTGGACATGGATATGGGTATATAGTGAGTAAAATGCATACATTTAATCAATTACTATGTATCCAAAGTTTCGTGTTAGCAATTGCATAACTTAGAAAGCTAGAGATAAGTAGATATGATATGCATCTAGGGCTGCAAATGAGCCAAGCTTTATTATGTTTGGGTTTGTTTATTAAGATTTTAGAGAGTTCAATCTCCAGCTCAAGCTCGAGCTTAATAAAAATTTAACGAACTGTGCTCTAGTCAAGTTGGCTTGGGCTTGACTCGAGCTCAAGTCTGTTCACGACCCTTAACAAGCCAAAGAAGTTATAAATTCATACTTGTGTATGAGACTAAAGTTACAATTGAAACTTTGATTATACAATTATATATAAAATATATATAAACATAATAAAAAAAAAGTCAACATCTTATCAAAATAAAATATCTACCATAACTATTATATAAATATAGTATCTATAGTTAGCTATTATTTACATATAAACAAATTTAGCTATTATTTACATTATTTAAATATATAAACAACATATTTATCTTGTTTATACATATTTTTACATTATTTACTATATAAATTTGTGTCTTGTGTTTTTTTTTTTTGTTTTTTTTAAAGTACTTGATAACTCATTAATGATACTTTAAAATACCACTTTTAATGAGATGTACCATTACCGATAGGTACCCTATGGTAGAAACAGCTCCACAGTGTACCAAATATAGCAAGACTTGACTTTAGTATTGACTGCTCAACAACTAAAGAGGGATAATGTTTGAATTTTTAATTTCTATAGCTGCATTGTTCACTCTACTCATGTTTTCGCAAAAAGGGTAAGGAAATACAATGATTAGCATAGGACAGCATTCTCATTATTCGAGAATCTTTCCCCTTTAATGTTTCCTCATAATTACGTTATTTATTTTATTTTATTTTATTTCTCTCTCTCATCTTTGCTACTTATCCAACTCTTGATTTGTTTTTGAATTTGGACACCATTGTAGGGATGGAATGTGACACATAATTGGGGATTTATGGTTATATATATGGTCATGCTCTAATATATATGATGCATATATTATACTATAAAAAGCTATGGTAACCATTATGGTATTTAATTATGAAAATTGATTATCTGTGGTCATGATATCTATTTATCAATATATTATATAAGGAAAATGAATTTTTTAGTGAGAAGTCTTATAGGAGTTCCAAATTCTCATTATAATTTCTTTAATTTTCTTATTTTTTAATAATTACTTTTATTTTATATTCTCACATTAGGAAAAGAAAGAAAAAAATAAGTTGTTTTACTCATATAAAGAGAATCTTATACTCCCATCCCATTTAGTGAGGAGCCTTGCGAGAGTTTCAATATCTCATACTAATTTTCTTATCCTTTTAATTTTAAACAATTAAGAAAATCTCTATTGTCTAACTTTTATTTAATAATCCCACACCAAAAAAAGAAGGAAAAGTAAATTGTTTAGATTGGAAGCTTTTATCATACTTTGGGTTGATAGTTCACCAGGTTGATAGTTCACCAAATTGTACGGTGAAAATATGCCTCTCTAATAAGAGGTTAATTTATATAATTTAAAAGCTTTTTTTTAATAATTAATGTTGTTATTATTATTATTATTATTATTATTATTATTATTATTATAAAAAGTTTCAAAATTTGAAAGCCGTCACCCATCTCTCCCAATTGGATCCATCTTGCTTGCATGACTACAATTAATTATATTTTTAAAATAATATTTTGCTCCAAATGCAATGATGTAAGCTAATTCTACGATTATGACTACATGAATGACAACGTAACAAGGCAGATGTCCGAAAGGAAAAGAGGTAAGTTGATTTACTTCGAAGTTAATTCTACGATTATGACTACATGAATGACAACGTAACAAGGCAGATGTCCGAAAGGAAAAGAGGTTAGTTGATTTACTTCGATTTATTTTTAGATGTGATTTGATTAGTCATTGTATATGACAACATTTTTTTTAAATACAACTTATTACTTATAATCATGTAATTTTATTATATTTAATTTTTAAAATAAATAATATATATAATTTGATAAATAGATCATATATTTTTATTAAAAATAAATACATTAAAATCACATGAACATAACTTTAGAATGAATTTGATTTTTTATTTTTATTTTAATGTGCATATGAGTTTACAAATTGATCGAGTATGATAAATTCACCAATCTAAACTATGCCTTTCTAATTTCCATTGGCTAGTTTTTATTTATCTTTTATTTTACAATCCCATATTGAAAAAAGAAAAAAAAAATGAATTATTTCACTTACATAAAGTGAATTTTATGTTTCCAATTATATAAGCAAAAAACTTTTTTTAGTGAGAAGCCCCATGATCAATATCTCATACTCATTTTTTTTGATTTTCTTAATTTTAAACAATTAAGAAAATCTCTATTGGCTAGCTTCCATTGAACTTTTATTTTATAATCCAACATAGTTTTGATTTTAAAAAAATTTTGTATGAGGTTTTGAAACTCTCATAATATTTAACT